TTGTCAAACCTGCAGCAAGTGATTTATTTTTAAATATAAATTTATATATCTAATTCATGCTTGATCTTAGTTTTAGTGAAGAGTCACAATGCTATTGCTCAATGCATCATACCTTCCACCATAAAAAGTATATGGCTCATAAATGGCAGCCAAGTACTTTGCTTGCTCAACTGATTTTCTGCAGATCATTTCAAGTTTCCGAGACAGTTTCCCATTTGAGGAATTTAATGCTGTTAACTGGCTTCGTTGAAGGGCATCTCTCCAAATGTGAGCAGAGAAATCTTCCATTGAGCTGAAGAGCTTCATCGATGGAACTTGGATTGGCCTGCCTTTCGAGTCCACGCATGGTGAGGAGTTGTAATGCTCATAGAGCAGTGTACTTAGTTCTTGGAAATTTAAGGGGTTTGCAACTGAGGAAGTAATCTGGTAGATATTGATGTCTTTTTTCTGAGCCATTCCATGATTCGCAATGGCCGCCAAGGTTGCGTTAGCAACCATGTCAGCTGGTACCTGCAAGTAGTCATGCCAAGAGTCCAGCAACTATTCAGGGAATGAATATGTGATACATACATAGATGCATATATGGATGCTGCAAACTTTTTCTGCTACATATTTGGTCATTTCTTCCTAAAATTCTTCTCCAATCTATTGCTCAAAATGTCATGTATACATACAATGCATAAGGGTCAAATGAAATAGATAAAAGATTAATAATTACCACATCAAGTACCCCATTTGGATCTACTAGGAAACCTGTGAGCTGCCCTTTTCCATAGTACAAAACAATTGGATCCATCATCCTGGGAAAATTAGGGACAGTAGAGGTTTAATTCAAAGCTTTATGTGAAACACTAAAAGCAATTTCTTTGGTGAGATATGTAATAGCAATTTCAGTTTCAAGGTAACTTCACACTTGAGATATACCTATTTCCTTCCATCCATCCGGCAAATGGTTCTTTGCAAGTGCTTTCAATGACACTAGGTCGGATAATAACCACTGGTATGTCACCTCTCATATTATCAATCAGCATTTCTCCCATGGCCTTGGTGAACACATATGTATCTTGCCATCCATATTTTCTGGCCCTGATTAGATGATAGTTTTGTCATGTTAAGACACTAACCAATGCAATTCAGATCCCAGTTTTGTCTATTAATGTGAAAACCAATTCTTTCCGATGGGGAACAAAGACCGTATCAATTTAACAAGTCTAGAAGAAACAGATATGAATGAAATGGTTCAGTGTTCATCTTCTTGGAAACCAAATAAAGCATCAAGGAAAGGAAAATTGCAGAACGAAGGGGAAAAAAAAAAGTCAAGCTGCTTACCTTTCTAAACCCAGCTCTTTCATCTTTTGAGCCACCTCATTGTTTGCATAAGCTCCTTTGGAATTCAAAGCCAGATTTATTTCATTTTCAACATCCAGGGGATAAAATCCGGGTGGGGTTTCAGATATGTTATTTTCCCCTGCTATGCTTTCTCCAATATAAAATGGCTTTTCCATAATTCTTCCTTGCCTTTGTCCATTAACATATGCTGCAAGTGAGAGGGCAAAGATTTTTAAGTAAAATTAGAATTGGCAAAAGCAATTTTATAGAAGGCAATCACCTACAGATATCGGTTTCTAATACTCCATGATTCTCCCCACATTTTACTTACCTGTTGATACTTGCAGGAAGAGCTTAAGTTTCTTGCACTTTTTTGCAAAGGCCATAAGGTGGCAAGGTCCTTTTGTGTTTACATCTATAGCCACATCATATCTGCGGAACAGAATGGTATGAAAATCTATCACAATCAGAAGTCTTATAGAGAAGTTCAGAACACATTTAGTGTAGAAATGGGAACTTCCAGAGGTAAAAGCCCATATAACCTTTCATGAAATGTTGTGTTAGCTGCAGAATTTACAATGACATCAACTTCTTTAGCAATCAAACCAGCTGTATCATGTTCTAGCCCAAGATCTGAATCACTGACATTTCCTACCACAGGAACTAGCTTGCTCAACATGAAGGCTTGATAAGATTTTCCATAAGTTTGTCTAAGACACTTGAAAAGCTCAGCATTTATGATCTACACCGCAACCGAACACCAAAATTCAAAGTAAGGGCCAGGAAGTAGAAATAATGAATGGATTAGAGCAGGTTAGAAACTCAACATCAAATAGAAACATATGAAACACAACACCACAGAGAAACATACTTCACTTTTTAATCTTTCCATTGCAGCTTCCTTGTTTTTTGCCTTGATCAAGAGAAATATCTTCCCCACATCGGGCTGTGTCCTTAATATCTTCTCAATAAGAACTGGATAGTTTTAACAAAAGGGAAAAAATAAAATTCACATAACACATCAAGATCTTTATCATATTTTTCTAATTTCATGGAAAATGAGCATTTGAAGAATGATCAAGATACAAGTGTATACCTTTTGCTAGAAACCCAGTTGCACCAGTTATGAAAAACCCTTTTCCTCTAAGAAATTTGACAATCCCAATGCCATCATGCATCTCCACCAAAGAAGTAGATGGTGGTGATCCACCAAAAGGCACCAAATCCTTCACTGCAATATTATTCTCTTTCTGGCTCTTCTGATCATTTGGAGACAAAACCAGGCTTCCTGCTTCCTTCACTGCTTTAGAAGAAAACCCACTAGTCTTTATGGCATTGCCACCGGACCCTTGGCACAAAATTACACTCTTTTTTCTCCTCAACAAGCACCAACTCCTCTTGTGATCAGACACTCTCAATATTTTATCTGGCGCAATTGTTGATGATGAGAAAGAATTGAGGAAAACAGCTTCCATCACTGCCAACAAAACTGGAAAATACAAAAGACAGTTAATCATATGAAAAAGAAAAGAAGAAAAAAAGGTTTAACAAACTAAAAGTTGTTGCAGTTAAAAATGCATGGTTGGGTTGACACCTTAGCTAAACACTTCCTGAACCAGATATAAAAAAGGCAAGTAAACTACTTGGGCTATGTAACATAAGAAAGATTGGTTGGTTTGGTCTGGTTCTGAACTTGGTTTCAAGAGAGTGAGGCAAAGACCATTTTGAAGGAGGGAGATAGCAGTTAGGTGAATATATGGAAATGGTGTTGGTGCTTATATAGGGAGATTTTATTTTTGGGATAAAGGGGCACTCTTTATGCCAACCCCTTTCACACTTTTTTACCAACGGCAAAGTTGGCGGGAACTCTCTTGTCATCTTCACTATGTTTGATTAGTGTTCTTGGGTGAGGTACGTTTTTTATGTGCCTATATACTTTAACCCCCAAAATGAAGGGCCAAAAAGGGCGTGGGGCAATGAACAATGGGCTGGGGTGAGTCGGGTCCATCACTGAATTTTGGTGGACAAGCTCGTAAATTTCGACCTACATTACTATGTCAATTATTTTCTATTTTGAAACTGTTATTTATACTCTAAAAAAGTTATCGTAACCTAACGGTGCGTTTGGATGAGGAAATTTAAAAGTACAAAAGAATTTATAAATGACGGAATTTAAATTGAAGGAAATTAATGTTCTAGAATTTGTAAAGTTTCTTGTTTGAGTGACGGATTTAAAATACGGAATTTAACCTTTATTTGTAAAGTTATCTTTTTTAAAAACTCAATTTCTCTTGGAATTTGAGAAATGACGACTTTTAGATAGAATTTAAAGTTTGAATTTATGACCTCCAAATTCCATATTTTTTCCATGCTAAATTTCTACATTTTTATGTTTTTTTATTATCCAAACACGGGAATTGGTTCATGTCAATTTAGAAATTCTAACTTTTATCAAAATCCCAAGTTTATTTCATTCATCCAAACACACTGTAAGTCCGTAAATTTCAACCTACATTACTATCTTATTTTTTTTCTTTGTAGTTTGCACTTCGAAAAAACAATCATATACTTTTTTTCTTTTATTAATTTTATGCAAAACAAATATTTGGATATGTGAACATTTATGAATGCAACCAGTGACAGAGCCACTCTTAGACGAAGGGTGGCCAGGCCACCCTATTTTAAATCTCTACTCTATGTTCACATGTTATAATATGCAAATAGTAACTAAAGAGGCCTTGTTAATTTTGAGTATGACCCCGCTCCGACAAAGTATACGTGAATAACTTAACTATGTTTAGTTTTAACATGTAATTTTTGAATACTTATGTATCTTCTATACTAATATTTTATACATTGTCCTTGCCAACCTTGAAATTCTAGCTCCGCCCCCTGCATGCAACCAGTTGACCTGATCTGTTTATAAAATTAAAAATAAAATAAAATAACCATGATTGTCATTCTTTTTCCAAGTATTAATTCCGAACTTTCTATAAATTATTTGGTAGCGCACAACTACCAAGAACAGCGTTTGTAGTCCAACGGTTAGGATAATTGCCTTCCAAGCAATAGACCCGGGTTCGACTCCCGGCAGACGCAAGCTCCAATCTTTTTGGCTTTTCATGGTTGCATGTAAGGTGTTCGATTAAATGCACAAACGAGTTTTTCCTTTTTATTCCTTCACATGTTTCATGGTGGGCAACACAACCAACTAACCAAGGAGCACCCATGACCACCTTGGTAGTCCTTCAATTTTTCTTTTCTTTTTTGTTTGAAAAATTCTATCAATTTTTCTTAAGAAGTAACTTAATTGTTTTAAAATAATATGTTTGTCAAAAATTGGTGAGGAAATAGGACTGAGGGTGATAATAACGCCACTTTAATAGAATATGTTAACATGTTTGTATGAAACACAACGGAATGACATATAGTGCTGGATCATTATTGATCACGCTGCCATTGCATCAACTTCTTAATTTCATGTTTTTTTTGTTAATTCCTAAATCATGTTGATATTGCATCCCGATTTATCAATTTATGAGTTTCTTAATGCATATAAAATGAATTTTTGTATAGATTGGCCCAAAATACAACCTCCAACAAATCAGGCATTATCAAAATGAAACACAAATCAAAGACCCATAAACAAACAAAAAAAAACACAAATCAAATGCCCGAAAATCCGGTATTATTACCTTCATAACTGAAGCTATAGCAAAATGTTAATTAAAAAACTAAATTTATCATCCAAAAGATTGGAAGAGGTCTCATATTTGAAACTCCCTCCTAAATTTAAAATTAATTCATTAATTAAAAGCCAGATTCTCAAATAACACCCTTAATCACCAGACAGACATCGAAGACAATTGCACTGAAAACCAAACCCCTGGGACAGGAAACTCTGCCGAGCATCATGATCCATGCTTGCATCGATATAGCAGATCCGGAGCTCTTCACCTGAAAATGAAAGATACTCAATACTAATGTACTTTTCTGGTCCCTATTTAGTATTTCACTCAGCAAAGTCATATCTGCTTATAGACCCGCTGCCCTAGCCCAAAGTCATATAAGATAAGCTAATAGCCTATAAATCACCAGTCGTTCATCTAAAAAAGTGGTTTGAGAAAATGGTTCTGAAAATTATTAAGAGCTTTACTGGCTAAGCTCTTCTCATGTAGTTTAATCAATAACTAATGTGCCTACTTACTAATGGTATACAGTTACGACAAATCGTCTAGGACACAAGTGTCAGAAGCAACAGCTTGGACACCTTACTTTCCACCAACTTCTTGGTGTTGAATCAAATAGACTCTTAGCCTAGATGCATTATGACTGTCAATATAAAGATGGTGGCACTCGGACAAGTTGCATTAATGAAAACAGCATGTCTGCAGGGATGCACAGGCTATTCATGAAAATATGACGCTCCTAAACCCTAAATCAATGCCCATAGTTGCTAACAATAAGATGGTGCGACGGGTATTTCACTTCATTTTATTGAGGGCGGTTACAACTATGTACATATTGCAGCTGCTTGTTTAAGAAGAGAATATTACAGTGAAGCCTAAATTACTTACTGTAGGTCATAATTCTAGATATCCCTCGAATTGAGGTGATCACACCCACCAATTAAGGTCCAATGTCACCCTTCAAGATCAGCATATCATCCTTAACTCCAATGATTTCTAGAATTACCCTACAGTAATTTAATCATTCACTGTAACATTCTTTAGTAAACAACCAGCTGCAACATGTATATAACTGCAAATATTACTAAAAACTACTGCACATTACACAAACCTTCATCCACATCACGAAGGGCCTTCAATCTTGCATCTGCATTCTCTATCCATATAATGTGGGCATTTGGATCTGTAGTAAATAAAATAAAAAACCAGCTGATTCAAATTTCTCAAATGATCAGACATGAGATTGATGATAGAGGTGTCTAGGTGCAGTTTCTCATAGCATGCAAACTACTTTATTCAATGTCTTATAACATGTTTAAATTAAGTTTCATTTAATTTCTCAATTAAATAATTTTATAAGCATCTGGAAGATACTAACTGGAACTTAAAACCTTCATTACTTTTGTGCTGACTACATGTAATAAGCTCAACATGCAAAGGCACATATTGGTTTGACTTTAATTCTTATATATCTATGTTCTTTCTATAAAATAAAGTATAATCTCACTTCCACGAAATTAAAATAAATGAGGGTGAAAAGTTTTACCAGAACGGTGCAAACCAGAAGACAAGAAGAGCTTACCGCAATCATGATTATAGAAGGATGGGAGCATATAAACAGCATTCCCAACAGCAGCTTCAGATTCTATAGAGGCTGCTAATGATGACAGGAGATCATCATAAAATGCACCGACCAACTCTATTCGAAATGCACTAATGCGAATCCGTGCCAGTACACCAATGTACCATTGTTTAGTTAAAACTTCTAATGTCAAAGAAAAGCATTCTCCCAACCCAACTGCTGCTGCCAAAGTACAAGTGAAATAAAATCTAAGATGGAAAGTAATATTAAATTTCAGGCAATTGGAGGATACATGACATCTGTTCACCCATGATATTGGAGTTTTCAAAGGCACTCCTTAGCAAGCCAAAACCCTCTTCCATCTGAAAATTGTCACCTTAATGCATAAACCAATTATTATTTTTCTCAGGTAATAACTACTTCAGATTGACAAAACGCAGGGAAACTTTGGAGATCAAAAGAACTGTAATCAGACAAATTTTTAAGCTTCTCAGTCTCTAAGAACTCAAACAAAATAATATATTTGTCCCTACACTTGAAAATGTTTCCTACTTTATTGAAGACAAAGAACCCAAGAAATTACTGTTGAAGGGAAAGCATGAAGGTTGAAATTGTTCTGGAAATGACAAATGCGTGCCCAGCACAAGAACACGAATTCTGTTTACTAGAGAAGCCGGAAGAACATATTTTGAAGCTCCTTCTACTTAGTGGGACACATAGAAGAAAAGTAAAATCAACAAAATCATGATACACCTTCATTTTTCGAATTCTAGTTTCATCATATGCTAGAACAAATTAGCGAAGGTACTGACCTCTACAATCATCTCTGGAGATAACCTAGCAGGTTGGAGTATGTCAAGAAGGTTGGCAGATGAAGCTTTTGACATGACCATACAAGCCAACCGCTTCACAAGTAATGGATATTTCAAACCACGAGACCTTTAGAAAGAGATGAGTACAAATAATACAATTAGTAAATATTTATCATCACCAAGTTGGAAGCATTTCTGACTTGACAGACTAGTTTAAAAACCAGCATAACGAAATATATCAAAAACAATTTTTCATACAAAATTGTTACTGGATTTGGGAGCACAAGAAAATATGGAAGTTGAACATTAGTAGTTTTCATTTCACATGAACTATATTTCCTTTTTATGTAAAAACAGTTTGGGGCCCATGCAAGGAAAAATAGGAGTACATAGAGTGCAACTAAGAGCAATGGTATGACTTGGTGGAGAAGTTCCCCACACAAAATTAAGAAGAGACCCCATGAGAGGCATGGCTATACAATGGCAGGAAACTGAGGAATTTACTGTTTCAACGAATGATGAAATGCAGGAAGCACACATACCGGCAATAGTCATCATAAGCTGACCAATCTTCTCTCATCTCCATATCATGAAACCCCTATAAATGATGCAGAAGAAGAAAAAAAATACATAAACCCAAAACATAATCTATTTATCAAAGAATGGCCCCTAACATAAAAATATGTAAGTAAGCTCGGACTCAAACATCAATGAAAGCCGAACAGAACCTTCTTTCAGAAACAAAAGCTCGAACAGTTGGTGGGTAAAACCCACAACCCACAATTCAAATTGCATACCTTCGCTTGTCGTTGGCATTCGTCGCTGCAAAACGAAACACGTTCGGCTTGAGAGCTGTCTGTGGTTTTCAGCTTTCTGAGGCAGAAATAACAGACCTTGTGGATGGTTGACAGAGAAGGATGAGAGAGAACGGGTTTGGCCGTGTGTATGAGCTCACCGGTCTCGATTTTCCGGGTCGCGAAGACGCCTCGACCGAATGACTCGGTGAGAGCGACTCGGATCGGAGGCGGTCCGGGTCGACCCGGGTTCTCATTGTCGGCTGTGGTGGCGGCGGAGGAGGAGGAGGAGGAGGAGGAGAGAAACGGCTTGGTTTGGGAATTCAATGTTTTGAGGCGCGAAGCCCAACGACTATAACGAACCAGTCCCATTTTTCAGTCACTTGCAACTTTCAACCTTTATGCTTATACTAGGCTACTTCAAATGAAACCCCAAAACAAACTAGCCTTTTGTTTTTTTGTTTTTTGGCTACACGATCTTGTTTAATTTGTTTGATAGACTCATGAATTTTGCTACGGTGAGTGGTCCACGCACATTTTAGTGAATTCTAACCGCTAATGTATTGTGAACTTCACATGCATCAACGATCAGGAATCACTCACGTGTGCGACTGACCGTAACATAATTCTAAACTCCTTTAACAATTATTCAAATTTAAAATATTTATCAACATTGATAAGAGAAATTAATGATTTTCATTTGTTCTCTTAGTAGGGTTATTTCATTCTTTTTAAGCTTTAGAATTTTTCCCTAAACTTTGTTTTGTCTTGTTGCATAACATACCAAAACTATTCCACTAAAAATCTCAAACACAAGAAAATGTACATACAAATAGAGATTGTCTATTTTAGACATAGATCTCTCCTAAAATCTCAAATCTATTGCATTTAGTCTTCACTTTACTAGTAAAAGTCAAAGGTGTACCATTATCTTAAGACCTTGTATCCGATGAGGAAGTTGACTTCTCAGATCTTTCCTAAAATAAAATAAAAATAAAGATATACAAAAGAAATATATGTTTGAGAATAAGTGTATCTACACTTAATCCTTTGTATGAGAAGAGTCAAAAATATATTCAACTGTCTATCTCACATAAGGCATGGAAGGATATCATATAGCCATTTGGGAGGTCAAAATAGCCAAATCCTTTTTTATCAACTCAACATCATCATCATCATCATCATCATCATCATCAATGCAACGGTGATCTCCAATCAAAGTTCTTCTTAGGGTAATCTTTCTGTACTTCTTTAGGAGGAATGAAGCAATCCATGGACAATCCAGGGACGTTGAACGCAAGATCATCAATGGTCCATGTTTCTTCCAACCGCGTGATCGCAGCCCCCGTCTTTAGATTGTCCCCGAACCGCGTGATGATCACATTCGTCTGACCGGCGTGCGCGATCATCACGCCCTCCACCGTTCGATAGTCCTCAATTTTCGTTGACATTGTGGTCTCCCAGTAGGTAGGGTAGGCTCCAGGTGATTGGATCCTGGTTAAGTAAGAGTCCTCTAAGTACACTAGCAGCCCGTTTCTTTGGCTGAAGTAGCCAAATATTACATGTTTGATCATCTCTGCTGTGCTATCACTTCGTTCAGTTAGGTCCGTTTGATCAGCTGACAATTTCAAGACGAAGCAATCAACGCCCGAGATTTGCTTTTCCCCCATGTACTGTGCCGGGGAAAACACAGCTGATATTGCCATTGGATCTAGTCCCTACACCAAAAATATTACAAAATAAAAAAGATTTAACCATGCAATTTAAACCTGAAATTTGTAGGAATTTTTGTAGCTTTCTCATATAATATGTCTGCGGCAGGATCTAATTCAAAATAGTGAGACTCACATGCATATAGCCAATTACTTATTATAATTTTTCAACGAACACAAAGAATATTGAATACATTGACTTTGTGACCATGTCAATACATCCAGTAGTATTGCCATTGGATCTAGTCCCTACACCAAAAATATTACAAAATAAAAAAGATTTAACCATGCAATTTAAACCTGAAATTTGCAGGAATTTTTGTAGCTTTCTCATATAATATGTCTGCGGCAGGATCTAATTCAAAATAGTGAGACTCACATGCATATAGCCAATCACTTATTATAATTTTTCAACGAACACAAAGAATATTGAATACATTGACTTTGTGACCATGTCAATACATCCAATAATCTTCGTGTTCGTCAAGAATTGACACAAATGAAAAATGAATTCGTAACACCAAATAATTAATAAAATTCAGAAGAGAATCCAAAAAATTTCAATAAAACGACTAATCAAATCCACCACCTTTCCCATGGCACCCAGGATCGACCCCAGTAGGGTTTCTTTCCTCCGATGTAACAAAAAGAAAGATAATTAATTTCCAAATGCCATTTAAACTTGGAGAATGGTAGAAAAACTATATGCAACAAGATCCGGTATTTCGGCTGCTAAGATCACCAAAACATATTATTAAACAATAACTAAAAAAATGAGTAGAAAATAAACAAAGAGCAATAATAATTAAATCTGGGAACGTGGTGGTTGTTTATACAAGTTGAAAAGTACATTTGAGCTTAGCTAGCGTGGGTCCATTTTGTTGGGTCGTTTCAGATCTTTGCTTATAATTCTCGCTACGAATCTGTTATAGATATGTAAAACAAGAAGATGCAAACGTAGAGGTACCCATCATGATGCTTGAGATATTTTCTAGGTGCTTGCTTGCTGGTGGTATGTACTTGTACTACTTTCCACCGGTGAATTAGACGTCGGGAGCTTCTATAATGAGGGCTTATAATGAGGGGATTCAATAACTAAAACAATATAATGCACCGATGCATTAGATGTACCACATAAAAACTCTCCGTTTTATTCTGTCTTTTAAACACTTGGATCACCTGAGTTATTTTTGGCCGTTACCGTATATGGGTAGGTACTCTGTATACAGGTAATTATGATTCATATTCACAGTCCGACAACAAATCGTTTACGGCTAGATACTGGCCAACACTTATTTCTACTTAAGGTGACAAGTGTAGAGATAGCGGTACCGATACAAAAGGGTTTATTATTGTCACACACACTAGGCCACCTAACAATTGTACTGTGTCACAAGCTCACACCTCAAAATATTAAAGAAGCCATAAAAGATGTCACCAATAAATTTCAATACCGCTGGGGGGAAAGTAGGACAAACAAACAAAAAAAAAACATGCTGAAGTGCCTAGCAAGCAAGGAACATCAAATTTATTGGTCCCCTTATCCCCCGAGACACTGTTTCCCAGTGCAACATTCTTTGGAAGCAAACTAAGATTTTGTTAGATTAATTTTGATCTAACGAAAATATTAATGACGTAAATGACATGCTAGCCTTCTAGTAATTAAAAAATAAAAATTAAGATCCAGAGGTTAGAATTTATTATGTTTATGTAGACAACTCATTGAGAGAAATTAGAACTTGCCTGGAGAGCTCGCCGGAGAGGACGAACACCGCCTTTGGCAGCATGCACGCCTAGCCACGGCGTGTGGCGCCAAGCGACATTGCCGTCGCTACCAGCTGCTACCTTGTGACCACCCAGAACTAGCTCAATCAGCCACTTATTAGGAACCATCTGCCACATTACAAAGCACCCTTTTTCCGAAAGTGCGGCGGTGCCCGAAGCTGAGGCGCCGCCAGGGCCGGGTTCATCCACCATTGCCATGATCACTTTCCCGGTTGCAAAAATGTTCTTGACTTTGCCTTCCAGCTTGCGGCAACCAGTGGCAGCTGTGAAGTGTTGTATTATGTACTGTGCAGTAGAGGACACCTGCTTAAGAAAATAATTAGGAAAGGAAAAAAGAAATTTAGAGGGACAATAAAGAGTTTTGACAACCTAAATCACCTTTTTTTGTAAGCCATTTCAAGCACAAGATTAGTTTGAAAGTAAACATACATATAACTAGAGAATTAAGTACATAATCATGATTATTTTGAAGGCTGAATCTCATATTTAAAGGCTAAAGCTGCTTCCTTTTTACATGGTGGGACAAGTGAGGCAACTTGATAAAAAGGCTGAGCCAAACACACAAGACTTAAAGAAGACCCATAACACCACTTTGCTCTCTTTTAGCCAATGGCCAGTCATTATGTTCTCCTAAAGTCAACCTAATGACCTTTTATTTTTATTTTTATTTTTATTTTTATACGAGCGATATTGGAGAAGGGGAATCGAACCTAAACCTCGGGCTTAATCGCTTGAACTACAAGACCCTTGCAACCCAATAACTCTTTTTAGGCCAAACAATTCATATAAATTACAATGCACAAAAACAAAATGGAAGTGTTGTGAAAGTGGTAGTACCTCATTGAGGGGCAGTTTGGGGTGCGCAGAGACGGGGAAAAGAGGGCAACCAAGAACACTGAGAAGAACCTTGAAATCAGACCTCTTGTTGAAGAGCACAAGGGATGAGAGGTGGGTTTTGATCCAGTTCCTCCATGTCTGAGTGCTGCGCAGAATGCCTTTGCTTGATCGGTTTGTGGCCTCTTCTTCTTCGTTGATATTGGGCTCTTCTGACAATGGTGCAAGCCTCCCCATGATCTCTAGTTTTTATGCTTCTGTTTTGTGTTTGTTTGCTCTGCTCTGCTCTGCTTTGCTTTTTAGAGATAGAGAGAGGGAGAGAGAGAGAGAGAGAGAGAGAGAGAGAGAGTTTGGTGGAAGTAAAGCATATAATGAAGGAAATGAGAGAACTTGGAAAGAAGTACTTGAAAAGAAAGAGAGGAAGGGTTTCCACTTGCAGTTTGGATGCGTGCTGCTCAGTTTTCTCCATAAAGTTCTTTTTTTTTTTTTTTTTTGTTAGAAGATTTTTTGGTACCCAGGTAAAAGCTTTTGTAATTATGTTATGTACAAACATTGTAGTGGCTATTTGTAGTAAGAATAATAATTTACCAACTATATATCCAAATCTAGATTCTAAATCAGAGGATGAGGATGGCTGCGATTATGCTTCATTGTCAATAAAGGAATTTGCAGATTTACTCCTTCTATTATTTTGTTATCATCGGGTACCAACTAATTTGTCAATCTTTTGAAGATTAGTAGCGGAGTCAGAAATTTTGTATTGATTCATATTTCTTTCAATATTTTGCTCATGCTAATTAAGTAACAAAACACAGAGAAACTTTTGTGTTACGGGTGGAAAGCATCGTTCTCCTTAACTTAGTTCTCACTTGACTAGTTAACTGAAAAGTTAGATAAAAAAAGGCGTACATTACACCCGTGTTTAAAAAATATAAAAGATTTCTCCCTAAGACGGTCATAAGCCAGTCGACCTTTAAAAGTACTTGAGTCCTTTAATAAGTGGAGCCATGATGTTACCTGCTAATCACTTTTTAACAAAAGTAATTATCTATTAAGCTAAAAGTACTACTTCCCAATGATGCTGCTAGGCTAGCAAGTTATTGAGAAGCAAATGCAAAGTTCAGGAAATGGGTATGCACGTGGAGTGGGACGGTACCTAGGACGTAGCCCACCTCTCCAAACTCATACTTTAATTGGGTTGACATTAAAAAAAAAAAAACACTTCACATGCAGTTAAGCTTCTCACTGAGATCTATCTGCAACAATAAAAATGGCGAAAAGAAAAAAAGAAGAAATTAAACCAACGAAATTACAAAAATGCATTATTATTTTTATTATTATATATGAAATTGGTGTACGGAGGAGGAGAGGAGAGAAGAGAAGGGAAGGAGGGAGCTTTGAAGGGAAGGGAGGCAAGGCAATGCAAAGGTAACGTGTCGAAATCATGCCCTATTTGCAATTATGGCATTTCGGATGGGTTTGGTACAAATTGGGAAGCTCATGTCCCCTTGGTTTAGTGCTTTCTGGTAGTTTTGGCAGAGCTATGAATGTATGTATATGTTTGGATGGGAAATGATTCTATTTTGGTTTTGGCATGGTTGGGTTACAATGTGCTCCACCACCACGTGTAAGTTAATCGACAATCGAGCCATCAACACTAGGGCTTTGGCTTATCGGTGATATTTCTCTTTTTAATGTTAAATCACATCTGTTCTTCTTTAGCGAGAGGAGAGGACCTGCCTAAGCACTAGGGTGGGCCCCTCTTTTTTTATTTTATTTTTAATTTTAATTTTAAAAAAACACTTTTACTTCTATAGTCCTCTTTTATAGATAGATTCTTGAAATAATTTTATTTGAGTACAAATTTATTTTCAACAATCCAAACTATATGTTTTTCAAATCTTCGTTCATAGATCATCCTTGCAAAAAATCATGCATATTGAAAATCATTAAGGCATCTAATTGGAACCAACAAAATAGATGAACACATTGTTTGAAGAAAATACCAAAATAGCAGCCATCTAATTGAGAGGTCAAATGGTTTCGGATTCAAGTGATATTTTGCAGAGATGATTCTTAAGAGAGAATATCTAAAAATTAGACGGTTCAAATTATTAAAATAAAATGTGAGGTGAACTTATTTGAAGGATCCCTCAATTAAAACTCTATATTTACTCGTAAAAGTATATATATGTTGCTTTTTAGACCTCAACCCGATAAAATTGTTAGTTGACCCCATATGTCATGGAGCTTTTATATATTTTGTTTAGTTATTTGCTGTTCTCCATATGTTCATACTTCTCTAATTGTTATGATTTTCTTTTATATGGTCTTTTTTTTAATGATCACAAATTAAATAATAATTTGGTCATTTTGATAAGAGTGATTATTGCATTAGGGTGTGGAACCCACATGCAAGGGGCTTGCAACAGTCCCTATCCAGCCGCTCGAACAAGCCTAGATTACACATGCCCAAAGGCTGCTAGCAACAAGCTCAAGCAACCCACGATGTTCTACACGCGACTTTCAAGCCTTTCAAATGTTGTGGACCCAACCCACCTTTGCCACACTCATGGGCTTACAGCATGGGTTATTTTTTGGATCGTTACAAAATTGGCACGAGCAAGTCATAAAAAGGACGTGAACTAACCCTTGATTTAGTGATATTCTCGTTCTAATGTTGAAAGGTGTCTCATATATGAACCGTTTATCACAAAAGCTAAACAAAAAAATCGAAAGACACAATATAATGCGGGGAGCTTCCTTAGTAGGGATTAGTTAATGAGTTCTAATCTCGTTCATCTATTAGATATGTTTTCTAATGGGTGAAGTAATTTTAGATATATACCATACATCAATTGAGATTAAAAGTCCTTTTATTTTTTTGTCTGAACCACGAGGTGGTCGTGGATGGGCCCCAACTATGGATGGCACCTTTAAGCCTTAACCACAACCCAGACTAATCCCCGCTCACACCGGGTCGGCCCGTAAGGGGTAAAGTACTGGTCAAAGTGGTGACTCCATACGTGAGTATGGATCGAACCTCTGACCTCTCTTAAGGAATGAGAGTGCCGAACCACTCACACCAACCACATTGGTTAGATTAAAAGTCCTTTCAATATTGAAGGGTTTTGTGTTGTTTTAATCATGATAGATATGAGTATTGACTTCCAATCGGGTATGCATGCAGGAGGCGTGTTGTTTTGATGATTGAAGATGCACATAAATCTCATGCGGTTTCATATATTTATAAATGAAGTTGCCCTACAAGAAATGTACATCAAGCAATTTTTCATCCCCAGAACGAATGGCCTTCCTTTCCGAGGAAGCAATGAACCATCTACTAAAATACACCAAGTACCAAACCGACTTTGTTTGCCAATAATCTATAATAACAATAAGAAGATTTATGCGGAGAGAATATAGCACTTCTGATCTCTTGCTCACTCACTATTGACCATTGAAATTTGTGGCCACCAAGTGTTTGATCAAATGAGCGTTAGACTCCCATGGGATACAAAACAACAGAAACCTACCTGATACAATCTTTTATAGTACTCTCTAGCTAGCTACAATGGCCACACCCTCAAACACCAACTTCAACTCCCATATCTCAGGAAAACAAAGCATTCAGAACCAGAAAGCTTTACCTGCAGAACAGTCTCCTCGGTGGTTTTCACCAGAAACGGGGATTTACCAAAGCAAACACCTTTCCATTGACCTCCCATCAGACCCTTTTCTTGATGTTGTCTCCTTCATTTTCTCATACCAGCATGATGGGGTTTCCTCAGCTCTCATTGGTTCCTCCTGTGGGTCTGCAATTTCTTACTCACAGCTCTACTCTTCTGTCAAGTCCATGGCCTCTGGTCTCCAGCAAATGGGCATCTCACAAGGTGATGTTATTTTGCTTCTTTTGCCAAATTCCATTTACTATCCCATTGCTTTCTTGGGTGTTTTGTACCTTGGTGCTATTGTCACAACCATGAATCCCCTCAGCAGTGTAGCAGAAATCAAGAAACAGATTGCTGATACCAAAGCATGTCATGCTTTTACTGGACCTGAGAATGCTGATAAATTACAAGCATTGGGCATTCCTGCAATTCTGGTACCAGAAAATGCAATTTCAGGTTTGAAGGAGGACATTTTTTCAGTTTTTTATAAGCTTATTTGTAGTAGGTTTGATTTGGCTCCAAGGCCAGTGATTAAGCAGCAAGACACTGCTGCAATAATGTTTTCGTCCGGGACTACTGGTGTGAGCAAAGGTGTTATGCTAACACACAGGAATTTCATAGCTACAGTTGCCCATTTTGTGCGTTTTGAGGCTTCACAGTATGAGGGTTCAAGCTTGGATAATGTGTATTTAGCTGTTCTGCCATTGTTTCATATATACGGGTTGTCACTTTTCGTGATGGGGTTGTTGTCTTTAGGATCTAGAGTTGTTGTGATGAAGAGATTTGATGTCAATGAGGTGATCAGGGCAATTGATAGGTATAAAGTTACACACTTCCCAGTTGTTCCACCAATATTGACAGCATTGACAACAAGAGCCAAGGATGGCTTGGCCCCTCATAGCCTCAAGAGTTTAAAGCAGGTTTCTTGCGGTGCAGCTCTGTTGAGCATGAAAACCATAGAGGACTTTGTTCAAACCTTTCCTCACATTGATCTCATTCAGGGCTACGGCATGACTGAGACCACCGCGGTAGGAACTCGCGGTTTCAACACCGAAAAGCTTAGGAAACCCTCTTCAATAGGGCTTTTAGCTCCAAACATGCAAGCTAAAGTGGTGGACTGGAACACTGGATCCCCTCTGCCTCCAACAAGTACCGGTGAGCTATGGCTACACGGACCGGGGATTATGAAGGGCTACTTGAACAATGCCAAGGCAACATTGTCAACAATTGATGAAGAGGGCTGGCTACACACTGGAGACATTGTGTTTTTTGATGAAGATGGATACTTACATCTACAAGACCGCTTGAAAGATGCGATCAAATACAAGGGCTTTCAGATTGCTCCTGCAGATTTAGAATGTGTGCTGATCAACCATCCCGAGATACTTGATGTTGCTGTGGCAGGTGCTATGGATGAAGAAAGTGGAGAGGTGCCTGTGGCTTTTGTGGTGAGGAAGCACAGAAGTGAACTAAACCATGAAGCTGTCATGGATTTTGTGGCTGCACAGGTTGCTCCATACAAGAAGGTCAGGAAGGTGGTGTTTGTAGATTCAATTCCAAAGTCTCTAGCTGGGAAGATCCTAAGAAGGGAGCTTAGGAAGTTTTTGAATTCTAGACTCTAGGACAAGTTTAGATTGTCTTCTGGTTTTTGGACTGGGGTTTTATGTGTCATATCCCAAATTTATGTACTCATTTATCG